CATCAGCGTATTCCATTACCAAAATATACTTTTTCGATTAAAAACGTCTTTAGCTTTTCACTAATAATTCTTAAATTTTAACCTTACAAGTGAAGTGTACTTACTCATAAATATATTTATATAATACCATTGATTGAATGATGCAATACAATAAAAAAGAAACAACATCACGATGAAGTGTTTAGCTAAACCATAATCCAAACTTTTAAATTAGAAATACAAAAATTACGTATGCATTATATTTATAAATACCTCATGAACGAATGTTTACAATTTGCACGATAGACTTTTCCGAAACTCCCATGGCCAATTTCTTGAAAGTTTTTAAAATTTTTATATTCGTAACATTTGATATGGTTTTTAGCAATAGCTCTTGAGTCCAATTATTCCCTCATTTGAAATTATTGGCATTATGTTTCTTAAATTAAGAACATCGAAAGCTTTTGAATTTTTTTTTTAAAAATATTGCATGAAAAAATTCTTGGAAAAAAAAAAAATAAAAAAAGTGTACTTAGAAATGATGTAACGTAAAAATTGCTAAGTAACCAAAAATAAAGGTTCGCAAGACTTTCTGACGGAATTTTGAAATTCATCATTACATTAATGTGAGTAAATGCATGTTTAAAATGTTTTATTTCTAAATCGCCCTGTTATTAAGGAGAAATGTTCATGTGCGCACGGAATATATTTAACCATTCACAACTGAAAACATCGTAAACTTCTAATAACGCTGTATAGATTAATTTAAGGGGAATAAATAATAATCGATACAACTGGTAATGTTTATTAAAATTCGAAAATAACTTTATACATAATACAACCATATTTAAAATACATGATAAAATAAATAAGAAAAAAGATTCTATTTCTTGATAATTTGGAATACTTCATAATCTTCTACGGCAAAAGCATCATCATTATCCCTTAACTTTTTTTGATAATGATTTTTTTGACAACAAATTATATTATAATCGGTTAATTCACTTAAAAATGAATACATCACGAGATCAAAGAAACCGAATCGAGGTCCGTTTCTCTTTCCATAATTTATTGCATGAGCCGCATCCCCGACCTTATTTAAAATCGCATCCTCGATCACGTCATCCTTATTTTTAAAAGAAAATATAAAACTATCTTTTGTTTTGCCCCATCCATTAGTAGATTTCCATACTAGAGGATTATAACCACCGACGATCTCCTCCGATTCTTTTATTTTAATGAAGGTGACAGTCATGGGTTTATTATCACATAATGAGTGAAATGCTTTGGGAGTAAATCCGTCTCGACTACCCCTCAATAATAATTTAAATTTGTATGGCAAGTATAATCCTCTAACGCTATTACCACTCACTTTATCTATCCATGTGGAAATTAAGGAGGCAACATTGATACTAACGATCTTTGAATCAAAACGTTTTGCATCTAAATTTGCAACTCTAGGAGGTAAAATACTATATTCAACTTCAGTTTCTGGATCCATGTGGTATGCTAGCAACTTTTCATAAAGTTGATCTTCTAAAAGCTTTTCATATGGACGAACTCTTCGTATAAAATCCTTCGAGGATAAGCTAAAAAATCTGATCAAAGGTAAACAATGTTGCAAGGTTTCTTCCATTGATTTGAAATCATCATCAGACCAAGTTGCGGGATCAGGAATAATGGTTGGCCTTTTTGCAAGACCCCATCTTAACACATGTTCCCATACTTCAATTTCCTTCATCGCCAAATCCTCCCTCTTTATGATTGATTTTAAAGTATTTTCAGAGAGTAAAGACAAGTCATGTGATTTAAGCGCTTTCTCGGGCGATTCAACTATTAAATCCTTACAAAATTGTTGAAGTTCAAGAAAATTATTAGATTGAAGGCTTGCTTGGTGGATTAGATTAAAATGTTGCTCCACCCATTCGGATTTATTTTCAATTAAAAATATTTGTAAATAATCAACCAACTCTTGAAGTAATAGATAATCAGCAATTGTCAAGATGTTAAGTATGTCTGAAACGTTTTGATCGCTAAATGAAAGGATTCCGCCATAAATATATCTATTATTTATAAGAAAAAGAGAGGATTGAATTTTTATATATTGAAAATTATAATTAATATACGTTAGTTGTATGTTACCAATAACAGCTTACTTTAAAATAATTTGAAAGGCTTTTGGTGAAATATTTGGTAATTTCAAATGAGCCCCGATGTTATTATCATTACTCTTTTTATTTGAAGGCAAAACTTTTCGAAAATATGGAGAACGATAGCATAAAATATTCATGTGTGCACGGAATATTTCGGAAACCTCACCAACTTCCACAATAACATCATAATATTCTTCATCATCCATTAATTCAATATAATTTTGACTCAAATTTGAAAAGAATTGTGCCGTCATTTTTTTTTAGGAGGAAAGTGTTTGAAATAAGGTTAGGTTGTTTTACAACAGACAAGTTTTTTTTTTTTATGTCAATTTTAGGTTGAGTAACCAGACCATACCAAATTTAGAATTTTAATCGGGAGTGAACTATTAAGGTTAATCATCTTAACTCTGGCGGGAACTATCAAATATATTCACAAAATCACGTGATTGTGACGGTCATTCAAACCCGATTTTTTTAAAAAACAATTATCCATAAAGGCATACATACACAAATGATTAAGATATAGAAAATCGTTCCAAGGAATACTTATTTTCGTGAAGTACTCCGAATGCATAACGTGGATGCGGAAATATTCACTAATCTTTTTCGTACTTTTAAAAATAATTATTCGCATGATTAATTTCGTCTATATAATATATATATTTAAAAATTATGAAGCGCGTAACTGACTGACTGGTTATTATTCTTTTTTTTTTTTTTTATTAATAATAATAATAATAATAATAAAAAAAAAAATAAAAAAAAAAAAAAAACCTAATGATGCAGGAATATTTATTGGTAATAACTTGGAAGACTAAATCTTCTACATTATAATTATTTGTTTCGATAATCGTTTTATCAAAAGTAGACTTACAATAATTTTTCGCAAACTAACATCCAAACTTTTCTGAGATCAGTCACGATTTTATGCGATACGTTGCTTTTAAAGTAAACGTAAATTGAAATTCCATGTATTAATAATTCATTTAGATACCGTTAGTATGATGTCAAATTGCGTTATGAAGGGTTGGGATTTCATATTTCTCCATAGATCAAAAGATGATGTCCATACGTGACCAGTAATTGTAAAGTTGTTAAAAGAACAAGCAAAGTCATGTTTCATAATTATCGTTGTCATCAATACTAAATAACCGGCTGACATTGATGCCTCTAAATTAACAGAACGATCCAATCCTACTGGTTTTCCAATTCTTTCATTTATGTATTTATAAACAATTTTAAAATGTAAGCAGAAGGTTTTTTTTTATTGAGTAAAAGTGAAGTAATGTTGACGCTAAATTTATTTAATAATATCAAATTAATCAGTGTTGCCTCAAAGTCGACGCTCTACACTTTCGCAATATCAATATATTAAACTAAATAAATGCCAATCAATAAAGCTTCAATTAATTAAAACTACGCAATTGCAAAAAAATTGTGTAATAAAATTATAAGAAAAATCGGAAATTAAAAACAAATATAAAATTAAAAATGTTAAATGGCAAAAGCGAAAAGGGATAAAGGAAGGTTTTTTTAAGGTATATGTATGCAAATACAAGAGTGTTATTTTGAGCTGTTTAAGGATTTCCAGCTCATTTATAAAAAAAAAAAAAAAATATTAGGACTAACTGAAAATATCGAAAACAATTTACATGTGAAATTATGGTTTCTCTGGGCGGAATTATATTTAATGTAAAACTACCTCAAAAAAAAGGAAAAAAAAATATTTTGGAAGAAGTGGTTTCCGTTATAAAAAGAAAATTCATCACAGGTTGTTATATTGTATCATTAATTATTTAATTCCAATGAAAATAATCAAACTGTTTCATTTCTAGTTTTGTAATTTAATTATATTTATTGTGTAATAGTTGATATAATTATATCATTCTTATAAAAAACATTAATAAGTTTATACTCATCAAAATCAATATTTATAAAATATGAATTTCTGAAACTAAAGCAATCGTTCTGTCTTCCGTGATACATAATATTAATTTAGTATTGAATCCAAAAATTAGTGATGCAATTCGACTAAAAAAAATTTAAGAGAGTATAATATTAGGAAGCTATTTATCACGCCTCTCTGTGTTTCGTAAACATTCTTATTTTTTTTAAATTTTTTTTGATCTTGGTGAATCAATATAATTTGATCAAAATACCTCATTTAAAACTCTTCATGAGAATTTGACGAAACATTAAGAATTTTAAGAGCTACTTTATGTATTTTAATATATCTTCATCAAAGCAGATATATGTAATAGTTATTTACCGAAAATCAGAGGTATCATCAGGGTCACGGCGGAATGAGGTATCGGCAATTAAATGGTAATAGCTAATATATAACTAACGCCCTGATAAAAAAAAAAATTGACGTTTAAATAGACTGATAATAAATAATCTTTTCTTGTAATCATTTCATTTTTTTTTTTTTTTTTATAAATTTCCCATCACTAAAAAATTTAAAATGAAATCAAATAATAATACACAATTTAATATTGCCCTAAAGCTTCTAAATAATCCACATTTACAATCTAAAACATTTAAAATATTGAATTTAAAAATAGTTTGACTTATTAGTAAGAATTCCCAATATAGAAACGATAAAACATAAACCTCACCTCATGTCTACAAGTTTTTTTCCTCACCATCATCGTAATGTTAATAAAGGAATGAGATTTTCAAACAATATTTTATATATATATATATCTTGTTTAGCTCATAATCAACTCGTTAAAATAGTAATTATGTTTTCTGAATCTCATGATACATCGATAGACATGATACTAAAAATTCTTTGTAACTTTATAAATTATCAATTTTATTATGCACAAAAGATATATTCTAACCAATAAATATTCATTTTACAAATTACGCGAAAACACTAATAACTAAAGTTGCGACGACTACAATCAAACTTAATGTAACCCCCCACAAGCTGTGGCTATTAAATTCGTGTAATCTTATCGTCGTACTCGATAGGTTATCCTCAATTGTGACTGGTGAGACCATTGTTTTTACCACAATTACAGTGGATGGAGGAATGTATTCTGCGAAGGTTGTAGTTTTTCCTAAAGAGTTAGTTGTTGTAATTGTTGTGGTATAACCGGCATAATATAATGTAACTGTGGTTGTGATTGTTGTAAAAGTAGTTATTTTATGTTTCTTCGGCTTTTTTTCTTTATCATCATTGTTATTTTTTTTCTTTTCATTATTCCCATCATTATTCCCATTATTATTCCCATTATTATTCCCATTATTCCCATTATTCCCATCATTATTCCCATCATTATTTCCATTATTCCCATTATTACCATCATCATTATCTGGAGTTGGCATTAATGTTTCTATTGATGTTTGCATAGATGTCTCAACTTTCGGAGTACTATTGATGGAAAAGGATTTTAGTAAATCGAAAATCATTAACATTATTCATTACATAATATACACTTACACTCCTGATGGAGGTTTGCATCCAGGATCATCAGGAGAAGCGCAGGTTTGCTTTGGTGGTTCAGGAACTTTTGGCTCAGGATCTTTTGGTGCTTCTTTCGGTGCTACAGACTCAGGTTCTTTCGGTTGCTCTTTCGGTTGTTGTGGTTCAGGCTCTTTCGGTTGCTCTTTCGGTTGTTGTGGTTCAGGCTCTTTCGGTTGCTCCTTCGGTTGTTGCGGCTCAGGCTCTTTAGGTTGCTCCTTCGGTTGTTGTGGCTCAGGCTCTTTCGGTTGCTCCTTCGGTTGTTGTGGTTCAGGCTCTTTTGGTTGCTCCTTCGGCTGTTGTGGTTCAGGCTCTTTTGGTTGCTCCTTCGGTTGTTGTGGTTCAGGCTCTTTCGGTTGCTCTTTCGGTTGTTGTGGTTCAGGCTCTTTCGGTTGCTCCTTCGG